CTGAATTATCTGCTTCAGACATCTTCTCCTTCCTTAATTTCTGGACTCCCTCCGAGGAATTAAGGATCTCGCCAAGCTTCTTGTACTGTGAGCGAGTAAGGACCATACACAGTTCACCCCTTCACAGGATCTAGTGCTCTGATACCAACTTGATACGAGTCGCCGTGCGAGCACTCTTGATCGCGGAATTATCAAGAGTGGGTAAAGAAGAAGAACGACAGAAGAACACAAGAGTTGAATTAGGGCGAAGGAAAATACCTTCTCTAGATTATGAGAATCAATTGGATTTACAAAATCTCTCTCTCACAATCTCTCTAGATCAAAGAACAACCTCCCTGATCTCTTTTCTGATTACAATCTGAGTTCTAAACCCTAGAAAAGTCGTGTTTCTATTTATACTAAACAGAAATCCCAACTGGAGCAGGAAACATACCCAGGCCCGGAACCGCTACGCGGTCGACCGTAGTGCCCAAGGCGGTGGACCGGTCAGAACGACAAAAAACTGGAAAATCGATTACATTGTTTCCGGTCGACCGCAGCACCATCATCGGTCGACCGCTCTCAGTCCCGAGACATAGTCTGGGCCTGTCCAGAGTCCAGCTGCAGATCCTGTAGTTTTGTCAAATCCTTTGACTTCGTCACCTCCAATGGCCTCGTCCACGACTCCTCTACTCTATTCTCAAGATACCATGAGAATCATCTATCCTCAAGCTCCCATGAGGATCGCTAAGATTCCGAAAAGAAGATACACCCGTATCAGATTTATTGGAAGGGCGAGTGCGACCCCCAACTCAATGAGTTGCTCGGGGTTCATTCATCATGCCCAGGCGTTCTTTGACTAGAGCTTCGCCTCGATCCTCGTGCAAAAGACCCAGGCGTTCCGCTATCACTTTCCTACCTCTGGATATGTCCATATTGTCGCGGAGCTTTACCGGAGGTGTGGGATTAAAAGGAGCGAGATCTGAACTTGACGAAAGCTGGGAACCAGCTTTGGATCTGGAATCGACTGAGAGACACGACTGATGTCTTTTATCGGGTAGGGGCACTGACTTAGCCTTTGGCACCCAAACCTGCTTAGATCTTGGTGATTTCTTGATCACCTCTTCCCGCTGCAATTCTCGTGCCTCTTGCACAAGGATCTGGGTGTGTGCAATAAGTGCACGATGCTTCTGGACGCGCTCCTCGAGGGTAGAACGGGTTCGTTTGACCTGAACCCATTTGTTAACTAGAGGTTGGGAGGAGGATCCCGATGCTTGTTGTGGTGATAACTTAGTCACTTGGCGCTTTCTGAACTCCCAATCCGCTTGGTACCGGAGTCCATCCACCTGATACAAAGCCTTGGCGAATTAGCACGCGAGGCGTTGGCGTTTCCTTTAACGTGCTCTCTTTGATAGAGTTGGCACACCTTCAGCAGTCGACTCCTTGATCGCGAAGGAGTTCAGATCTGCAGATCTGGTCTCATCGGATGCCGGCGGATCGTTGCAGGGTGCAACTGTAGCATCGACTACGGGGAGATCGACTTCTCGGGTCTTCAGATCTGGAGACCGGCGGATCTTCTGGGAGGAGGAGATCTTCCTGCGTTTATGAGGAGGAGCAGATCTGGAGGAGGAGGAGGAGATGTACTCTTCAAATTTTTGCTGGTCGAATTCATACTCGACCTCTTCGAACACCGGGATCTTGATCGTTGGCTGCGGCACGACAGCTTCGGCAGCGAGGCTGTTGGCTCCCACTGTGGTTGCCAATTTGTTTGCGGTGAAAATTGATTGATTCATTATGGGATTCATTACAAACTTCAGACGTTTACAACGAAAACAAAAATCAGTCTTTTTATAAGACTTTTACACAATGAAAACAAAAAAAATTACAATTCTCTTCAAACAAACGCAACGAGTGTTTATCGCCCGCTGCTTGCGTGGAATCTTGGCCTGTGACGGGGACGCGTTAGTCCGTGGACCACCGAATGATCAATATTTGGACAGAGTTTCATCTATCCGCGAAGGGATAGAGAAACCGTAGCTCTTATCTCGGCGAAGCGAGATAATCACTCTTCTTAATATTACCGCAACGGGATAATCCTAAGGAACGAACTGGGCTGCAGATCTAACTCCTCCTCCTCTCTGAAATCTGTGCACTTTAAGTCTTTAATCCGGCATGGCTTCGCCGAGGCACGAAAATTCCATATCTGGAAAAATGAGGGTCTGGGGCTTGTATTTATAGGCTTGAGGGGGTTCCGGGCGGTTAAAACCGCGTAACGGACAGATCTAGGGTTGGAGACACCCTAGGGTGTCTCGGCCATGGCCGAGACACCCTTGGGTGTCTCGCTCGTGCCGAGACACCTCGGGTGTCCCAGTTCAGCCTGAGACGCTCCGTTATGTATACTTGTTCGTTTCCGCCGTAACTTCTTCGTCCGAATTTGGATTTGAGTGATTCAAAGTGCGTTGGAAATCCGACGAGGAGTTCTATAAGCTCCAATGATTATATCATCAGTTGAACAAATGAGACACGAAGGGTATTTCACCGTTTGTGAACGATACGAGGTTCCCGATCAGTTCGTGTCTTCGTTATTCTGAAATTCCGTTGGTTTACGTAGTTCGTCAATTCACTTCAAGTGTTCATCGACATCAATCAAACTTCTGTGAACCGGATAGTGACGTTCATCGTCGATTCTTAGTACTGAGCTGTTCGTGGAGACCTATAGGCAATTTTTGATGCCTACAATACCTAGATACCTAACTGGTAGGCAACCTTCAGAGAAATTCAGATATGAAGAAATTTGAAGCTTTAGATTGTCATCAATATCACTTAGATATACTGAGCATTTATCTGGGTTGATATCCAGACCAGAGACTTTACTGAATTCATACATACAGCTATGAAGTTTGATAATGGAGTTCATATCAGCTCTACCAAAGAGAAGAAGATCATCAGCAAAGAATAAATGGGTGATGTTTAATCTTGAGCATTTTGGATGGAATTTGAACAACCTATCATGCTTGAGAGTATTCAACTTTCTAGACAAGTATTCCATGCCGAGAACAAATAAGTATGGGGAAAGAGGATCCCCCTGCCTCAATCCTCTAGCCCCTTGAAAATAGCCATGGAGAGAGCCATTAAGGGATAGGGAAAACTTAGGAGTAGTAATGCATACCATTATCCATTTCACCATAATGTTTGGAAAACCCAGACCTATCAGCATAGCTTTAATGAAATCCCAATTTATAGTATCAAAGGCCTTTCGCAGGTCAATATTAAGGACAACTCTGGGGGAAGTTTGCTTCCTTCCATAATGTTTGATGAGCTCATGGGCAAGAAGGATAATATTTGAAATAATTCTACCTTTAACAAAAGCACTTTGGGCACTGCTTATAAGATAACCCATAACTCTCTGAATTCTGGCAGCAATGATTTTAGTAATGATCTTATATACACAGTTGCAACAAGAAATTGGTCGATAATCAGATGGAGTTTGGGGATTAAGTACCTTGGGAATCAGAGTTATTGAGGTAGAATTTATAGCACCAAGGAGTTTCCCAGAGCAAAAAAATTCCTGTATCGCAAGATAAAGATCTTCATTGATAATGCTCCAAGCTGCCTTGTAAAAAGAGGCACCGAAACCATCAGGTCCTAGGGCTCTGTCATCAGCCATTGAGAAGATAGCAGCTTTAATCTCCTCTCTTGTTATAGGAAGACCAATTTCATTACTCTGAGCAGGAGAAAGTAAATGACCATTTGCAATGACTTCAGGATCAGGAGGAATGACAGGAACTGAAGTGCCCAGAAACTGTTCATAATACTCGATGAACTTTGCAGTAATATCAGTCATATCAGTTATTCTTTGTCCATTTTCCAAATAGAGAGATAACACTCTATTATGATGACGATTAGTTTTCATAACAGAGTGAAAAAATTGAGTACATTTGTCCCCATATTTTCCCCATTTGATATTAGCCTTTTGTCTGTAAAATGAAGCTTCATAATCTAGCAGTCTCACATACTTATTTAAACTATCCTTCTCCTTTGAAATCAACACAGCATTAAAAGGATCAGTGTTCAGTTGCTTTTGGACTTCCTCAAGGCCGTTTTTAGCCCTCAATACTTGCTCACTGATATTCATGAAATTTCTCTTATTTAGATCCTTTAGAACAGGCTTGAGATTTTTGAGTTTAGTATGGAATTTATACATATTATAACCTATAACAATTTTTCCCCAGCTAGAAGCTACTGCAGAGAGAAAATCTGGGTGAGTTGTCCACATCTTGAAGAACTTAAAAGGCCTTTTTCCCATATAATCCTCATCTTCAATAGTAATTAATCCTGGAGAATGATTTGAGCAGTTTGGAGATAAGAATTCAACTTGACTTGAGGTATAATTTTGAATCCAGTCTTCATTAACTAGGACTCTATCAAGTCTGCACTATATTCTAGAGTCAGGATCTTATCTATTGCACCAGGTAAAGAAACACCCAGCTATCTTCAGATGAACAAGTTGACTAGAAGAAATGAAGTCCAGGAAATCTTCTGTGTCAGAAACAGATACTGGGACACCACCTATTTTCTCACTATTATTGATAATAGTGTTGAAATCCCCTCCTATAATTCAAGGACCAGTCACATTATTTTTGAAAGCCAGAATGTCATGCCAAAGAGCCTTCCTACCAGAATTGTCATTGAGAGCATATACAATAGTAATAGTGTATGATAATCTGCAATCCTTTGACTTAATAGCACAAGACATGAATTGATTTGAGGAGTTAAGCAGTTGTAATGAGAAAAATCACTATCCCAAAGAATCCATATTCTAGCATTATTGGCCTGATGACAATTTGAAATCCAAGACCAGTCTTTAGTCACTTTTTTTACAATAGCATGCAGTTTGTTACCAGCTATTTTAGTTTCTAAAAGAGCTATAAAAGGAAGCTTATACTGAAAAATGAATTGCTTTATCATCATGTGTTTAGAGGATTTATTAAATCCTCTAATATTTCAAATAGCCAAGTGCATTAAAACTTTGAACCAACCCTATCTATGCTAGAGGGGTCCAAATCATGCTCTTGATGATCTAAGGGGGAAAATTGTGATACCTGAAAAAATGGTATAGCCTCCACTGATTTTGATGTTCCTTTATCATTTGTTACTCCACCAGATTTTCTTATAGATTTACCTCTGACAACACTAGTGAAACCTGTTACATTAACAACAGGAGATGAGAATTGATAGTTAGGGAGAGCACTTGCAATTCCAGGCTTGGCAGTAACTGTTTGTGCATGTGCATCATAACCTCCAGGAATCCCAGAGCCTTCCTTAATAACAGGATCTTGGTGAATATGTGGAGCAATAATAGGCACAGATATATTATCAGCATGCAATTTAGAATTAGCATCAGAATTCACTTCAATACTGGAAACACCAGAAATAGTACCAATATTAGGAGCAACATTTGTAACAGATTTGTGAGTATTTACCCCAGCATTTGCATCAACATTTCTATTAGCATTTCTATTAACAGGCATCCACCTCATTTTACCATTCTTCTTTCCGCATTGCTCAGTAGAGTGACCAATAGCCTTACAAGTATCACACCATCTAGGCTTGAATTCATATATAACTTTTTGATTGTGGCACTTCCCATTTGGCCCTTGGATTACAACCTGATCAGGTAGAGGAGATGTTAGAGGCAATTGCACTTCCAATAAGACTCTGGCATAAGATTTCCTCTTCCTAGTAGCAATTAATTTGTCTGTGGTTATAGGTTTGCCAATAAGGCTAGACACTTTACTGATCCCAGTAGAGCTCCAAAGATTCAGTCGCAAGTTAGGAAATTGAACCCATAAAGGGTAAGAGGAGTCCTGAATCGTATCCATATCTATTTCAATGCTCCATGGTTTAAGGACAAGAGGCCTTGAACCAAAGAACCATGGGCCAGCTTCCAAGACATCAAACATTTGTTTTTCCGTTTGAAAATCAAAGAGAAAAACACCAGGTTTAATTAGATGAATCTCAGGAATAGAGATACTCCCCCACAATTTATTGACATAAGCTTCCATAGATTTAAACCTGACATTTAAGCCGATAACATGGCTAACTAGAGCAAATCTCCAATAGTCTTCGCCTTCCATCCATTCCTCCATAGAAAAAAATGGCAGTATTCATTTGAGAATGAGGAACATAGCTCAGATTTAAGCCTTTACCACTTTTCCTATTATCAGCAAATAGACTTGCAAAACTTTTTGGAATCTCAGGAACCTAATCATCAGTAGTTTTTTCATGATTTGCATTGATATCTACAGAATTTCCATTCACCTTATTAGTAGTATCAATAGGTGTTTGAGTGAGATCTACCAGATTCATGCTCTTATTTGCATCATCTAATCTATTCTGGTCAATATTTATAGGAATTTCTTCATCTAGATTCAGATTTCCAATAGATTCAGATTCAAAAACCTCATCGACCTCATCAGCCCAAAGATTTGAAAGATTACCTCCAGATCTCACTTGTTGAGGATCTAAGATCGAGCAAGATTTAGCAAGAATCTCATCCATTAGCAGCTTCTTCTTCGCCCCCTTAGGACCAGTACTCTCCATTATCATTGTGCTAGAAGATCCCTCAAGTTCCTCCGCTTCTACTGTTCCATTGGATTCGCCATCAGGGATGGAAGAGGAAGGAGAAACAAACATTGAATCCCTGAGCTCACTACTGAGTACACTCTTGCCACTACTCTTCTTCTTCTTCCTTATTGAAACCAGGCGGCGGTGCACGTTAGCAAGGAGATCCGCCCGCTAAAATGCACCATCAGACAGACCGGCCCATTTAAAAATAGTTGGTAAATTGTATCAGGCTGGTTTGTTTGGGAATATTATTTTTTATATTCTTTTAAACACAATGATGTTATAAGTGAGAAACCTTAAGGATACAAAATCTCAGCCACCGTTTGAATGATGAAAGCAATAACTCTTCACTCTTTCTTCCTCTCTCTCTTTTTCTTCTCTCAATTAAGTTAGCAAACTCTCAAAAAAAATGAGATAGAAAAGATACATATCAGCCGCGATCAATGGCTGAAATTAAATGACAACAAAGCAACAATTTTGACCTAGTGTCCATCGATGGCCAACTTTCTCATTGATGGGCATTTTGCTCATTAGTGGCTAAAGTTCCCCATAGATGGATAAATGGCCTCTGTCAAAATTTTTCGTCAATAGAAATTATGAGATTGATTGGCAATGATCTCTCATTGATGGGAAAAGTGTCCATAAATGGGTGAAGAGGCTCTCTCAAAATCTACCATTGTAAAATGTTATTAATCAATTAAATAATACAGCAGGTCAATCAATGGACATCATGCTCATCGATGGGCAAATGACCAATTGATGAGATTGCACATCAATGGATCTGCTCATAGATTCATCATTTTGAAACTCATATCTTTTATCACTCACTATCAAATCTATTATTTGTCATCCTGCACAAGTGATCTCAAATGCAAATAAGTAAAAAATTAAAGTATATTATTATTCAAATAAAAGATATTCTATAGAGAATTTCTAATAATCTCCCCATTTTAATAATAACAAACTAAAAAAAATATTTGATTACACTAGAAATAAAGTATGAGATGACAATGATGTTGGATAGCAGGTTCCTAATATGTTTCCTAATTTGTTTTGGTAACAGGTTATTGGGATTCCTAATCTGTTTTAGTAATATGATTCCAAATCTGTTTTGGTAACAGGTTATTAGGATTCCTAATCTGTTTTGTTTTTTTGTTTTAGAATTCCTGTATGTTTATGATTTAGGATTTCTATATATATTGAACAATTGGAAGAGAGAAAATCTGTTTTAGTAATATGATTCCAAATCTGTTTTGGTAACAGGTTATTAGGATTCCTAATCTGTTTTGTTTTTTTGTTTTAGAATTCCTAGTATGTTTATGATTTTAGGATTTTTATATATATGGAACAATTGGAAGAGAGAATTGAGAAGAAAATTAAGGGATATTTAGAGCACAGAAAATAGGTATTTTCTGAGCTATTGGTTAGGGTTTAGTTTGGAGAGAATTAGAGATTTGTTGGTGAGATTAATTGGTGAGTTTGAGTGATTTGTAATCTCAGTTTGTACTCTTCTTCTCTATTAGTGAAAAACCCTATCCCCTTCTTGCCCCGTGGACGTAGGCAACTTGTCGAACCATGTTAAAATTGGTAGTTTGTATTTGTGGCATTGATTTGGTTTGTTTGGTCTTCTTTTGACGTTCGTTTGATTTGGTCTCTCGAAGCACATCAGTTTGGTTTTGGCTTCCGCTGCGCAGAACAAGTAGTATCAGAGCTCGGGCTATGCTTGGGCTATTTGGAGGAGTAGGTCATTTTGGAGGCTCGCCTAGGGCTTATGCTTGGGCTATTTGGAGGAGTAGGTCATTTTGGAGGCTCGCCTAGGGCTTCGTTTGGTGATAAAGGTGTGATCTTTTTGATAAAGACTCTATCTTTTTTAGTTTTGAATCTATTCTTTATTTGTTCTGCATTTATTTTGGTGCTTTGAGAAAGATGGCCGGGAAAGAATGAGTTGTGGAGGGTATTTCCGACGTGAAGACCATCCAAAGTATGAATATCCACTCTATGAAGATAGATGTGAAGAAGTTTAATGGCACAAATAATTTTGGTCTTTAGAGATGCGAAGTCTTGGATGTGCTCAATGCGTAAAATTTGAAAGATATTTTAGAGTTGGACGGGAAAGCGGACGATATTGATGAGAAGGTTTGGAAAAAGATGAATAGAATGACGTGTGGTGTGATTAGATCTTGTTTGACTTAAGATTTAAAATATGATGTGATCAATGAGACTTTGGCTAAGAAGATTTGGGAAATCCTATAGAGCAAGTATTTGACCAAGAGTGTAGAGAACCGTTTACAGTTGAAGAGGAGGCTTTATTGCTTCCAATTGAAGAAGGAGACCTCCATTGGTGATCACATGAACCACTACACGAAGCTTCTTACGGATTTGACGAATGTAGATGTGATGATTGAAGATGAGGATAAAACGTTATTGTTTTTGAGTTCCTTGTCTGAAGAGGAATATGAGACATTCGTTCTTACTCTTATTAATGGGAAGACATCTCTTTCTTATAGTGAGGTCACTACTGCACTTGTGAATTATCAGCTTCGAAAGAAAAATAAGGAGACTTCAGTTGAGCCGGTAGCGGGGGCATTAGTCGCAAGAGCAAAGAGTCCAAACCGTGGTAGGAGGTCGCAGTCTAGAGGGGCACATTTTAGAGTTCGTAGGAATCAATGTGCCTTTTGTAAAGAGGATGACATTGGAAAGCCGAATGCCCAAAGTTGGTTGATCGAGCCGGGAAGAATAAGGAGAAAGCTATTCAAGCTTTAGAGGTGAATGTTGTCAAGGCTAGTGATAATAATTCAGATTTAGATTCTTCAGGCTACTCATTATCTGTACTACCGTTAGTTTGTGTTACCGAGTGTACAGAGTGGATGTTGGATTTCGGGTGCTTCTTACCATATTTACCCTAGGAGGGATTGGCTCTCCAGCTTTCAGGAGTTGGAAAGAGGGGAGGTCATGCTTATGGGTAATAATCATGAATGTCCTATTAATGGTATCAGTACCGTTCGGATTAGGATGAGTGACAGAGTGATTCGGGAGTTGGTTACAGTGAGGTTCGTTCCTCAGTTGAAGAAGAACATTATTTCACTTGGAGTTTTGGATGTAGCAGGCTATAGGATGATCTTGGTCGATTCATGTTTGAAGATCATATTGGGATCCATGATTGTGATGAAGGACGTCAGGAGGAATAATATTATTTGATTGGGAGCATGGTGTTTGATAGAGAGCTGATGACTTCTTTGGATTTGGCTAGACTCTGGCATTTGGCTAGACTCTAGCATTTGTTGAAGCTGGGTTATTTGATTGGTTATGCCGTGCATGGTTTGTCGAGGAGTGCTTTGACCTGCAGATTGAAGTCCTTTGAGCATATTGGTATGAGCAAGAAGACCGAGGTGGAGTTTGATACTTCTATCCATCGATCGAGGGGTCTTTTAGGTGGTGTTCAGTAAGGCATTTGGGGGCCTTCCAAGGAGGCATCATTAGAAGGTAATCGGTATTTGGTTTTCACTGTTGGGGATTGTTCTAGGCATTGGTGGGTTACAACCAGGTCCCATTGGTGTGAAGTCCTAGAAGTCAACAACAATTAAAAAAAGTGTATTGACAGAAAGATAACCCGTTGTTCTAGCTTTGGTAGGGATTCTTTCTTACATTTGTGCCGAGCTCATGGCAGTTTGAGAAACTTCATTGATGTGGAGACATTAGGGCGACGAGATGAGATGACAGTTTTGATGGGTCGTTCCTTACTAGAGGGGGATCGACGTTGGTTGTCGAGCATTTATTTTGGTTTTGGAGCTTCGACATATTTGGGTCATCTTGGTCATAGATTGCTAACTATTGCGTGTAGAGATTTTAGATCTGGTGGAGCTGCTTCAGATTTTGGGTTAAGTCGGATATTTGGTTGCCCAATATTTAGTCACATCGAGTATGTGAGATTTGATCTGATTGCACGTTTAGGATTCAGAGGTTCGTTTGACTATTAGTTAGGAGCTTCTGATTTTGTTTTGAGCAGGTATGTCACATTTGACTCTCGGCAGGTGGAGAGTGTTGATCAGATCATTAGAAAATCACAGCGGGTGGAGGGTGATGCTACTTCACATTGGGTGGAGATTACTCCACATACTCCAGATCATACTGCATCGTTTTAGATTCTAGCTGAGATGACACAGGTTGGAGATAATTTGGATTTGGATGTAGATGATGAGTTGGTTTTGGATTCGAGTGCAGCTGGTGGACATGTTTTGGATACGGCCTTTGGTTCACCTCAGGTGAAGGTGTTTGATTTGTTTCAGTTTGGGGTCATTGGGAGCGCTATCAGTTACAGATCCGTTAGTGATATTGGTAAAGAGTTGCAAACTTTTCTATTTGATTGAAAGCATTTGAAGACCGTTTGGGTGAACTACGTGAATGCTTGATTCCTTAGGCAAGAGGATACGTAGGCAGTTATTTATGATGCAGCCGGTTTGGTGAGTTAATATCGACATTTAGAGTTTGTTCGCATTCTCGTTTGGGTTCTTGACTTGTTGTGGATTAAGTCCGTTGTCATGGATTTGTTCTACTTCATACTAGACGCAACAAGTGAGACGTTTGGTTGGTAGTCGGCTCAGTTTTGGGAAAACTTCGCCGAGGTGGAGAATTGTTGGATAGCAGGTTCCTAATATGTTTCCTAATTTGTTTTGGTAACATGTTATTGAGATTCCTAATCTGTTTTGGTAACATGATTCCAAATCTGTTTTGGCAACATGTTATTAGGATTCCTAATCTGTTTTGTTTTTTTGTTTTAGAATTCCTAGTATGTTTATGATTTTAGGATTTCTATATATATTGAACAATTAGAAGAGAGAATTGAGAAGAAAATTAGGGGATATTTGGAGCACAGAAAAGAGGTATTTTCTGAGCTATTGGTTAGTATTTTGTTTGGATAGAATTAGAGATTTGTTGGTGAGATTAATTGGTGAGTTTGAGTGATTTGTAATCTCAGTTTGTACTCTTCTTTTCTATTAGTGAAAAACCCTATCCCCTTCTTTCTCGTGGACGTAGGCAACTTGCCGAACCATGTTAAAATTAGTTTTTTGTGTTTGTGGTATTGATTTGGTTCGTTTGGCCTTCTCTTGATGTTCGTTTGATTTGATTTCTCGTAGCACGTTGGTTTGGTTGTTTGGCTTCTGCAGCGCTCA